CATGTCCAGCTCTTGTAAAATGAAGACACTAATGGTACATACTTAGTGTTTTAAAAACTAATGTATGTAAAATGCTTGGTAGGGGGCTGGGATTGTGGCTCAGTGGTAGAGTACTTACCTGGTGTGTGAGGCACTGGGTTCGAGTCTCAGCACTGCATATAAAAAAATAAAGGTCCATTGACAACTAAAATAAATATTTTTTAAAAAGTTGAAATGCTTGTTAGGGTACTTGGCATATGGTGAATGCACAACAGAGATTAGATATTATGATTGTTAATGTGTATGGAGTTTAGGAAGGGCAACCCCAGTAACTCAGCCTGCATTTCATGTGATGCCCATGGCTATCCAGTAAGGTTAACAGGGCATTTTAGAGACAAATTGAAATTAATTTAAATTGACAACATATGGCATTTACTGACCAAATAACAGAGAACACACACACACACACACCACCAATTAATTTTTTTTTTCTTTTTTTAAGTGCTAGATGTGGAATCCAAGATTTCTTGCATGCTAGTCAAGCACTCTCCCATTGAATCACATCCCCAGCATCCATCTCCTCACCCTTCCCTCCTTTCCTTCCTTTCCTTCCTTTCTTTCTTCAATCTTTCCTTTCTTTTTGGTACCAAAGATTGAACCCATGGGCTCTTTACCACTGAGCTACATACTCAGTACTTTTATTTTGAGACAGGGTCTCATTAAGTTGCTGAGGAGCTTGCTAATTTGCTGAAGTTGGCTTCAAACTTGTGATTTTCTTGCTGCAGCTTCCCAAGTTACTGGGATTATAGGTGTATGCTACTACACCTGGCTTCCATCTCCAAATTTTTATAGTGACTACAACTGTTAAGAGAAATAGTGTTCAGGTTGTGACTCTCTTTTTACCTTATTAGTACCCCATCATCTGTTATTTTTCCAGCTCTGGTTCTAAATGGTCATTCTAGGACACATTAGTAATAAATACAAAATTAATACTGCAGCCAGGAATGGTGAATTCAGTTGCCTGTCAGGCATACAATCAATGACCAGCACTCTTTGATTTGTTGTCCGTAGAACTGAGCAGGGTGAGGGAACTGTACTAGTATTGGGGCCTGGGTCTCAGGCATCTAGACTGGACTGGAGTAGGGCCAATGAGTTTGCCTTTTAGGTGTTCCCAATTTGTTCACTTAGCCCCAAGAAATGTCATCACTTTTCTTATGAGTTGCTGTGGGCAAGTGATGGAGAAGTTAGTAGCATGGCCTGGAATGGCTCTCAGTGGGCTAGGGCCAGCTGACACACGCCACTTAGGTTTCCAAGGAGCCAAACTATCCCCACTCATGCACAGCTGATGTATTTGTGTCTAAATGTGGTTCAGTCAGGGCTCTAGGCCAGCTTCAGGGCAGGAAATAGAATGCCACCTCCATCACTAGGGAAACAATGGTCTGCGTACATGATTTATACAGGGGCCAACAAGAAAGCTCAAAGGGACACTCAGCCAAGGAAGGGAAACCGGAGGACAGCTTGCACAGATCTTGTCTTGGGTTCTAACTGTTGACAAGCCACTTAACTGCTCCCGAGTTTAAGTTTATCTGTATATAAGATGGAGGTAACAATATTTACACATCTCACCGGAGACTTATGAAGACAGCATTTCTGGCAGACCACTTGGGATCCATGGATGGAAGGTGGTATGTAAGTGCAGGTGATCAATTTGCTGTGTGTTTGTTTTTAGCAGCACATGAGGGACATGTAGACCCTCCAGAAAACACTTTCTGAGTCTGCTCACAAATAAAAATGAACAGCTTCTTGTTTTTGGGTGCTTGGATCTGTCTTTGGTTTATACAGGTTTGAAGGGAATTGCATGTGTAATTCAGACTTCAGAAGTGTTTTCCAAAACTATCACTGTGGTTAGTAATATTGGTGCTTAAATCAACTGGAAATGTTGTAACTGGTGATTTTCCCCAAATGTTTGCCAATTTGCTTTCTCAAAAAATCCCCACTTAACTCCATAGTTTATGAGTTGTGTTTGGAGTTTGGAACTTTTTTTCTCCAAGTTGGGTAGAGAATCTATTTAAAAAAACACAAACAGTTGCTCTTTGCCCATGGGATTTGCTATTTCTGAAAAGTCTCTTAAGCTAATACCTAAATGTGGGTATTTTCTGATCATTTGAGACTAAACAATTGCCCTGAGATGTTTCTGTAATATTATTATTATTTTCTGTCAACAAGGTTCCTGAGGGAGTCTTATTGCTGTTCTCTGGTGTGAATTATCTGCCTAGAATAATTCTTGTGGGTCCAGGTGAATAGTAACTGTTACAGAAAAAAAAAAAAAAAAACCTTGCGAGTAACACAAATTATACACTTCATTTTTTTTATTAGAAAAATAAAAATTAATCCTTAATGCAGAACTAACCATATTGGCATCCATGTATGCTGTAAACAAAAATGTGACTCTGTATTTGCTGTTACCGTCCTGCTTTTGGGATGAAGTCTTCACCCACTAGATCTAGGAAGAGTATCACAGATCTTTAGAATCTTCTGCCACAACAGGGAGGGGTCATGCTTCTGTTGCCAGCTGTGTGGTGGTGGATGAGAGCCTCTGAACTTCATGCCCCATTTGTAGGAGAACTTTCAAAGACTTGTTCTCTTAGATGTTTCTCCATTTCCTTAGCACTCATGTGTTTTGGCAACATGGTAGCACATATCCTGGAAGTGATAAACACTTGCTGATTTTGGCTTTGCCTCAGTGCTGGTCCCAGCTCTCATAATCCATGAGCACTCTGCTGCCAGACTCATCTATCCCCCTTTGCTTTTTTAGTTTATGCTAACAGGACACAAGGCATGACTCATAGGCGGTGTAATGCACACATATTAAAACCTATGGAATTAAAAAATTATATATATATGTATGTATATTTTTAGTTGTTGGTGGACCTTTATTCATTTATTTATATGTGGTGCTGAGAACCAAGCTCAGTGCCTTATATATGCTAGGCAAGCACTCTACCACTGAGCCACAACCCTAGCCCGCCAGCCTATGGAATTTAAATATGAATACCCCCATGCAACAACCACCAGAGATAGAAAACATCTCCAGCATCCCAGAAATAGCTTTGTGTTCCTTCTAAGTCACAATCCCCTTCCCCAGTTAATCATTTCTTTCCATTTCCTAAACTGACTTTATTATGTTACTCCCTACTCAAAAATATTTCATCGGATAGTTGTCCCTCTTACTGCTTTGTCTGCCTAATTTTATCCCTTCACTCTTTTAAGGATCATACCTGCTAAATCAGCTGTGCCTCCACTAACACATCCTGATCTAAGCACAGTCCCTGCACTATCTTACCCATCTGTCATGCTCTACCTGGAGCTTTGTTTGCTCTGTCCTCCCTGAAACTGCCCTTCCTTGGCCTCCCCAAGTCTCACTCATTATTCAAGGCTTAGCTCAAGTTTTATTTCCTCCAAGAAGTCTTCCCCAATTTATTTGTCTCCTCTTACATCCTGAATTACCTGCACCATATGGCTGTTTCTACAAAGACTTGAGTTCATGCAAGCCAAGCCCAACTGCAGTGCCATTGTTGCTCATGATTCCTGATGACCATTTATACCCCGCAGCAGACATTTTTACAAATTCCTGTCCCCCTCCATTGTCTCACATCCTGAGGCTGCTTGAGGACCTGTTTGTCTCCAAACCCCAGACCCTGTTGGGTATCTTGTCTCTCTCCCCTTTTTGCTTCCCTGTTCTTGAGACTTTGTCACCCAGATCAGCAAAGACCTCTTATATAGATACTATATTCCACCTCTGCTATCAGTTGTTCAGATTTAATACCAAAATATCTTGGGATTGGGCTCTTCTCAGAAAGTTGGTGGGTAAATGGAAAGGAGAGAAGTAGAGCAATGAAAATAAAATTCTTTTAATCAAATGTAATGGGGCTAGACACACTTCTAGGTTTACAGTTTTGCCCCAGTCATGTCCTTTGCAGTTAGTGATGGTCCCACTTTCTCTGTTGTCCTGATATATTAACCTCCCTCTCATCCAGACTTTTGGTATTTCTCACAACATAGCAGAGCTCTAAACCCACAAGAGTTAACAGAGTCAAGAGGTTTAAATGAGATTGCAGGTAAAGTGCTTAGCACAAGGTTTGCTCATAGTCAGTTTGAGAAAAAAAAAACAACCTATTATCAGAAACCCCCAATCTCCTTGATTCCTGTCAGGCAGGACAGGTGGGGTAGTGTCCTGTAGCAGTATGTGTGTTGAGGGTAAAGGGGTCTTCCAGAAACCCTCCCTTTTTTGGAGTGAACACAGTGAACTATATAGAGCTAGACACAAGATTCCACCTCCCCACTGACTCACTGTGAACCTCAGTCTCTTCATTAGTCAGATGGGGACCATAACCCATCCTCTTCAGATGAATAGCAACTATGAGGACACATGTCAAAGCACATTACAGGTGGAAACACCTTGCCAGTGTGCGCTGGTAGAAAATCGAGGCATTGTGTTGGCATGAAACTTATTGGCCTTGTTCTAGCTTACAAATGGAGTTGAGTTTTCTGAATTGGCGGTTGGAAAATGTAGCCCTCTAGAGACAAATTCAAGTTTTAGAAAATAGAAAGTTTCAGTTAGATTGCTTTTGTTTAATAGATTCTTTTTTAACTTTTATTTATTTAATTGTTTTTCTTTTTTAATATTTCTTTTAGTTGTCAATAGACCTTTATTTTATTTATTTATATTTGGTGCTGAGAATCAAATGCAGGACCTCACATGTGCTAGGCAAGCACTCTACCATTGAGCTACAACTCCATCCCCTAAGTTAGATTGCTTTTAATTATAAGCAGACACTGGAGTCTGGCTGCCCACATTTAAATCCAAGTTCCTTTCTTGCAGGGTGCAGTGGTAGACTCCTGAAATCTAAGCTACTTGGGAGGTTGAGGCAGGAAAGTCTCAAGTTCAAGACCAGCCGGGGCAACTTAGTGAGACCCTGTCTCAAAATAAAAAGGGCTGAGGGTGTAGCTCAGTGGTTGAAATCTCATGGATTCAATCCCCAGTGCCACAAAATCAATCAACCAATCAATCCAGGTTCTTACTTTGTAAAGTGCCTTCATCACTCTAAGCCTCTAAGAACTGTTGTGAGGGGCAAATAAATAATTTATATAAAAGATGTAGCATAGTGCCTGGCATATAAATGTGCTCGATAAGTATTTACTACCTAATAAGTGGTGTTGTTCAGTAAAAAACTAATGAATGAATGCATGAATGTTGGTCTGGATTTTGGCTCCTAATGGTGCTTTTTGTTCTTTCCTAGTATTTTAAGGTTAATTTTACTTTGTTTTGCTTGGTCAGGGAGAAGTTTGACTAGGTATGTAAGGAAAGAAGAGATGAAATTAAAAGGCTGCAAGGGATAGGACTGCTGAATACAGAAGACAAGGAGATTCTGGGAGCAAACTCACCAGCACCCGAGGGAGGCAGGAGATAGGATTCTGTACAGCTGTCATCTCCCTCTCTGCTTCAGAGAAGCCAACTTTGTTTTTTATTCCTGAGCACAGTTCCTGGATTTGTCCTTAGTAGGATTGTAGCTGTTGTTTTAATTCTCTTTCTGGGTGGCCAGCATGAGAGAAGTTATAGACATTTTACTGTGAAAAAAGCAGCAGCCTAATATCTGAGAGTCCCTGCCCATGAGGGACCTTGTTTGCTTTATCCTCGATATAAGCCCCTTCCTATTATCCTTAGATAACTGTCAGAACTGAGCCTATGGGGCAGAGGCCAATCTTCTTCCCTCTACTTACCTCCTGACCTCTCAACCCACAGAATAGGGGGATGAATCTATGGTCTCAAAAGGATGACAGTTTTATCTTTGCCACTGCCTTCCTGTGTGACCTTCCATAAAGTCTCTTCTCTCTGGTCCTTAGGCTCTCTATGTACATGGTAAGGGAAATTACCCTTAGAGTCTCTGAGATCCCTCCTAAAGTGGCAGAATGGTTTATCTGCCCCTTAGGGCTGCAGCGGGTTTTAAATAAGGTTTGCCTACTACAGTGCTTAGCACAGAGTCTGGCCATGGTTAGGCTTAGAAAAGTGAGCTGATATCAACAGCCTGACAACCGCCTGTTTACTGGGCCAGCCTCTTCCCTGGTTCTTGTTAGCCATACTAGGTAAGATGTGGTCCCAAAATGATGTGTTTCTGCCTGTCATCTGTCTGTGTGTGTAGAGCTTAGCCTCCCTCAGGTCACTCTAGGAAGATCTAGCCAGAGGACTCTCCTTGACTTCTAATTTGTGTCCCAGTCCTAGGGACTCTGTACTCCTTGGTAGCTTCCTGAGTAGTTTTATTTGGGGAGGCAGTAGCTAAACTCTTGCAGCCTGGAGATGGCTGACTTTAGCCAGAGTGTGAGCAGCCCCATTGAAAAAACACAGGCCTCCTGCCCTTTCTGCTGCCAATCAGGACTTCTGTCTTAAAATAAAGGATTCCCACCTCATCCGGTTCCCTGTCCCAGAATTCTGAGTTTTGAACTCAAGTCAGCTCTGCACCAGGACTCTTTCCCTTTCTTTCTTGGACCACACAGTGTTTGTTTCACAGCTAGACACTCTGCTAAGTGATGCAGGAAGTAGGCCTCCAAAGAGGCAGATAGAGTCCAACAAAGCAGATAACCAAGTGAAACCTCTGGATGCCTCTGGGGCCTGGGACAGGGTCAGAGATAAGCGGAAATGCCAGGCTTATCGCTACTGCCTGAGTTCTTCCAGAGAAATCATCCTGGCCGGCCAGCCCACCTCATTCCCAGAGCTCCAGGCAGTTTGGTAGCATCCATCTCCAAGCAGAGTAAACATTGAGTTGGCACAGCTCTGGGGCCTGCAGGATGGGGACTCTATGCCCCACTCCAGCACTGCACAGTCCCAGCACCAGAGGCCAGCAGCGGGCATCAGATTACACCCAGATATTTGCGGTAAGGGCAGCTCTAAGCTAGCATGCTTTGAAGTAGAAGGCTGAGAAACAATTGGTAAGGTCATGGGACTAAAGGAGCCCTGGTGACAATTGTCCCCCAGACCTAAGGTCCTCTCAAACCAAGAAAGTCAGCAGAAAACTTTGGTTGATGGATATAGTTTGGGGGTGGTCAGCTGGGGCCTTTCCCCATGGATTCAGGATATACTGGGCAGACAATGCCCAGTGGCAGCTAACCCCAAAGTTGTCTGCATTGAACTCTGAGGCTCTCGAGATCTTTTTCATTTCTGTTTTCCTTTTTAAAATAAGCTCAGCTCAATGGAGGACACATTGGCACCTTCAGAGTGCACATCAGCTAAAGGTGCACGCAGGGGATGCAGTGGGGCCAGACTTTCCCTGCACGCACCATTAGTTGATGTGGCCACTGTTTACTGGGCCAGGTGCTGGATGGTGAGGAGGGGTGTGCTTGTTTAGGACTGGGGTACTGTCCCCCTTCCTCAATAAGGTGACTGAGCACATTGCTGTCTTATTGGGCTGGCCGTGTGGGATGGGAGGTGGAGAGAAGGTGAGATTGATTTTAAGAACAGCAACTCTAATCTGTACTATTTTCAAGCACTGTGTTAAAAGTTTTACTTACATTTGCACTCAGCCCTGTGGATATTACACTGTTAGGAACCCTCTGTGTGGATCAAGATGGCTGTGTGCAGAGGTGAAGGAATTTCCAGGTATGCATCTAGCTCATACAGCATTTATATAATGTAGACCAGGGCACCTTTCTTCTAGATACCTGGCTTGGAAATTTCTCATAGTATTAAATATACAAATCAACAAAGTGTACTGTATGTTTAGTAGTTAGATATTCTCCCGGTTCCTGATCCCCAGAGGCAACATGGAGTCTTTTAGCTGTTCCTTCTTTTGATACCCATATTTTTCATATTAATTCAGTATGCAATCTGTGGATTTCCTATTCAGATAAATGAAGACTTAACCTTTTTTATACTTCCCAACTCACAATAGATATGCTATTGTTTTCACTTAATAAGCCATTTACTTTATTATGGTACAAATATTCATTGCAAAATGAATTATTGTGCTTTAATCTTATTTTCTCTTGTAAAAACTCTGATTTTTCTTGGAATTTCTAATTCCTTATATTCCTCTTTTGCCTTTTCTTCCATCACCATGCTGATGGCTTAGCATTCTCATGTAACTCTCTTGCCAACTCTGTGAAGTGTATTTATCATTATTATTTTCATGTTACAGAATAGGAAGAGCAGACTTGGAAGAAGTTAAGTAAATCCTGGTCATAATTCTAGTGAGGCAGGGGCAGGAGTTAAATTCAGACAGTCTTATTCTAGGCCCCTTGATCTTAACATTTACTACATATATCTTTAGTTATATTGTATACTGATTTTTTTCTTACTTCCTTCTTTTGCTAGAGCACATCCTCAAAGCAGCTTCCTTAGGGTGCATTAAAAAAAAGAAGAAGAAAGAAAAAGTCACATTTTTTATGGCTTTTTTTTTTCTTTTACTGGGAGTTTAACCCAGGGTTGCTACATCTCCAGGCCTTTTTTACTTTTTATTTTTTGGCAGGATCTCACTAAGTTGTGAAGGGCCTTGCTCATTTGCTGAGGCTGGCCTCAAACTTGGGATCTTCCTGTCTCAGTCTCCTGAG